AAAAATAAAATTAGATGTCTTAAAATTCAGTAACGATACCAGTTGAGTGTCAGACCTGCTGCAGTCCTCGAATTTTTATGTCTGAATGCCACGCTCTCGTTTAAATAAACAAAAATAGATTTAATGTTTCAACAAAATCTCTGGTCAAAAGATTGTAAAAGATTGGATCAATAGAATTATCTTATTTTTTCCTCGGATTTAAGAAATTTATTACCGATAGTAAAATGCGTCAAAAATAACGCAAAGAAGGCAGCAGGGTTAAAAAAGGGTTAAATTTAGGCTCACTTTTAGCATGTCCGTCTGCGTGTCGTCAGATTGGGATAACATGGAACTCATTGCGTGCAACATTTGCGCGGGTAGCCAAAGAGAATCATCCTCTGGCTCGTACGGCGACTGGAATCTATCATCCCTTAACATTTTCTGAATTCAAAACGTTTATATTAATTACAGATTATTTATTTTGATTAGATTGCGGATGTTTATGCAAATATGTATTTTATGAATGAAAGGAAGACATCTAAGTGGAGATTTATTTCACTCGCTAAATATTACGAGTAATATATTTGGAGTGTTTTATATTTTATTTCAATCTAAATTTTGTATAGATGCATAAAAACCCGCAGTCCAATTATGACGAAATTTGAATAAAATATTCTAATTGATTTTAGACATATATCCATCGTCTATTGGAAAACAGTACTGTGAAGTAACTATGTGTCGCGGATTAAAACGAAGAACAGTAAAGAAATATCATGTTACAGCTGGTCACTGATATCGTACCCTTTATCGCAGAGTTCCTTCCCGCGAGCGAATGCGTCATTTACATGTATACGATACTAAACTGGCACAATATGGACAAAAAGAGGAAAGAGGAATTCAATGAAATACTCACATGTAATCCCGACAGACCAAATGCAACGAATTTGCTCCTCTTCGTTTCTAGTGCTAGCTGAAAGGTATGTAGACATTTTGCTCGTAATTCGTGGGGTGGATCGCGTAGTAATCCCTGCTGTTTGTCCAGGAAATCTACACAAACATGTTAAATTAATTAAACAAATAAAGTAAAATATATCGTTTATTTCAGAATCTTACTTATCATAAATTGATAAAAAAGAGCTTTTTACCAATATAAGAATTATAATTGACAAGTCTATGGTGGATAAGGTACTGTAGGGCGAGTATAATTATCACAAGTATCGATCAGCTTTAAATTTATGGAGCAAGTGTGACCATCTTATCATAAGAAATATATAAAACGAATCTTTTAAATCGACTCACCATACGCTTCTTGCGCAGACTTCCGCAAATTTTGTAATTTTGCATTGCTTGATTCTCGGACGATCTGCAGCAGAAGATCCTCCATGTCACGGTGGACTAACACGCGACTGATCGATAACGGGAGTGCCAATGCACGCTTGGCTGTACGCGCGCATCCAGGGCCGTAGAAACTGCCTCGCACAAGGGAAATTCATTTTCGTTTTAGAAAATTAAATAACCTTCAAAATCCTCAATATCTCACCATGCAACACTAATTTAACAATATAAATACATAGTAAATTAATTTCCTTAATAACAAACCGCAGCTAGTTACGCATAAATTTCTACCACTATTATTGACATATTCTACATTTAATATACATGCCGCACGTACATAAACACCTACCATAGTCATTTTATAACTTTATTAAGAGATTGAAATTAAAGTTGACATTCTCCTTGTAACCTTCTTTATCAGAAAATCGATTAAAGTCAAACTAATTTTTGACCGATCGACAGGCATTTTGAAATTTCCGATCGATGGCGCGCAAATAGTTCTATACAGTCACGTGACTGAATTTAGTCGGATCTTAAAGATGGCGACAGAAAGTGACAGGAAGCGTAAAAGCGGCGAAAAATTACGCCGTAAACCATTGAATTTGTACGAGTTAGCGGTGGATTTGATAGGTACAAGCCTCCTTGCGAAGGAAAAAGGCTAATTGGTGTGGTTTCCTGGTCAGCGTTATCATAAAATCATCTCGTGTGCCGTGACAGGTTTGGCATTTGGCTTTTTCCATTGGTGGCATGTGTCGACGCTGTTCGAAAATGACCGGCATTTCTCGCATCTGTCCGAAATCGAGAGAGAAATGTCCTTCCGCACGGAAATGGTACGAGATTCGAACGATTTCGAGAAACTGACAAATTATTCACGAAGATAACAGGTATGTTTTGTTTTTTTTCTGTTCAGGGGATGTATTACTCGTATTACAAGACTATCGCGGAATCGAAAACGTTCATGGATGGACTTAGAAAAATCAGCCATGATAATATCTCGGAATATGGAAACATTATTAATGCAGCTAGAAAGTATAGCTTGTTGCCAGAGGTATTATTCTCTATTCGGTATTCGACGATGAATCTATTTTTTGGTTAGGTTAACTTTGCTGCGTCCTTCCAGTTATTTTCTTATCTAGACTCTCTTGTACAATAATTCTTGAATCATTTTATTGTACCAATATATAATTGGTTATCTAGTCTTGATTTACTTAATCTCTACTTTAATCTAACATATTTTTATAATCGTATGATATTAGTTAAATTGCACAAGAGAGCTATAATCGTGTCTTTCTATGGTTAAAAAATATAAAATGTCTTATGCCATGGTTATGTTAAAGTTCATTTCAAAACATTAGATGTCTTGTTGTTTATTGAAATATAAGTAAGATAGGAAAATAAAAATTTTAAGGTCGTAGCAGGGTTAAGAAGATCGACTTGTATAAAACATAATTGATAATTTGCAGCTGGTAGCTGGATATCTTTATCATTGTGCCAAGAATCTGGGGATTATATCCATAGAGCAGTGTTGGCAAGTGAGATTCATGTTTGTTAGAACTGTATACAGAGTCAAATACTATAATAATACATAAAGAATATTTGGTACACAGACTCTGTATGCATTGAGAAATTCAATGTGTGTCACTTCCTACGGAAGAACTAGAAAAGAATCACTTTCAGATAGAAAGAGGAGAAGGTTTGCCACCAGTGACTAGTTGCGAGGGTCTTGGTGTTCCAGTTTATTTTTACTTACAAATCGTTTGGATTTTTACTATATTTACGGCAGCTGTACTGTTCTACTATGCTGCCTTCCTTGGTAATAGTTTGAGTAGTGGAATCATAGCAGTGCTTCTATTCTTTTATAATCATAACGAATGTACTCGTGTCCAATGGACTCCACCGCTGAGAGAAAGTTTCGCATACCCTGTATTACTCTCTCAAATGTATAGGTTGACACTGATTATTAGAGAGGGTACTTTGCAAGATCCTCAGAAAGTGCCCAAAGATTTACTTCAGGTGTGTTGAGAAATATTAAACACTCACAGGACTGACATATTCTGTATGAAGTAACAAACAATTTATTTCTTTCAGAAAATGGGTATAGCGACGGTAATTAGCTTATGTTGCTGGCAATTTTCACATTTTGTACTCACCACGCAGGTCGTTGCTCTATTGATATTAAAATGGATGAAAATAATTCCAAACGACCTTTACAGATGTATTTTTAAAGTTCATGGTTGGTCAATTTTATTAGCAACTGGAATCACAGATGGTTTCCCCTTGCTGTATTCTCTGTACTTCAATCTTTTACTCATCAGTAACGTTGTAAGCTTAACGGAGAAGCTGACTCATTTCATGGGCATAAAGCTCCAAACGATTCTCGAGATCGTTCTGACAATTATATGCACGCTGTACTTAGAATCGTTTTCCGCCTCGTTATCCGAGGACAACGCGCACGTGTTCGACTTACTCAAAGCGAAACTGACCAGTTACAAAGACTTCCATACGATGCTGTACACGTGCTCTCCCGAATTCGATTTCCTCCAATACAGAAGCTTCGAAGCGATTATAAAAACGTTACTTCTGCCGTCTGCTATATTGGCTGGAATGCTGGCGGTCTATTTCTGGTATAGGAATTACAAAATCAAAGGATATCCTAAATGCATAGAGGCGGATATGGCTTACAACGGCCTGCAGACCGGAGCTTTTATCATCATGGCAGTTTTCATCATGAGACTCAAGCTGTTCATGAACCCCCATCTCTGTATAATAGCCGGCACTGTTTGCGCGAATAGATACTTGGAAAAGCTTGGTTTGAAGAACGAGATGACTAAGACTGCTCTTACTCTCCTATTGATATCCGCGATGTCTTATCATGGATTAGAGAGACTGCAGGAAGAACGAAGTATCATAGGTAATTATCAGGCTCTGCGGAATAATTAACGATCAAGCAATGAAATAGTGTGTAAAAATGTATAAGAACATTATTAAAAAATATAAATAAAACAAGACTATTTTTTCAAATTACAAAAAATATATTGATATAACAGATATATTGTAGAAACTCGTGAGGTACGGACAATATTCCTTTAATTGAAAAGAAGATGGTTATCTATGATGCCTGAATTTCTTCGAATTGAATAACATTGTAAGATCTAGATAAAAGAGGATTTTTTGAAATTCGTTTTCATAATTACAACGTGAACTCAATAGAATTTAATAACGTAAACTGGTTAAAAAGAAATTACAACTAAACTGTGATTCTTGATGTTGTCGACCTTCGCAACTTTTACAGACTATTTCATTACTTAAATACGTATTTTATTTCCTAACGAAAAAAAGCGAAATACCCACTAAAAAAAGCTTCTTACCTGCACGTGGTAACTAGACTGCAATTTTTTTATGCAAATTTATATTTTCATGAGCACAATTAAATAGAACTTCTATAGAAATTTATTTTACCTATTAAAAGTTATGACAAGAAAAAACATATATGAAATAACATATAGGAAATAAATAATGTAAATACAGATATAAATGCATAATAATCCGTAGTCTAGTAACAAATATATTTTCTTAACAAATAAAATCGTTCATATAGTTTGACAGATTAGTAACGATATATAAGTATAATTTTTATGAAAAGTAATAATTGTGAATTATCCGCGTGAGTCAAAATTGGTCCAGCCTCCGAAGGTTAATAAACAAGCTCTTTATTATCTAATCTTTCATCATATAAAAATATGATATATGTAATAAGGCGAGTACAGCGACATCGAGCAAGAGGAACTGTTCGAGTGGATCAAGAAGAACACGCCAGAACACGCTGTGTTCGCCGGCAAGATGTCTTTGATGGCAAACTTAATGCTCTCGACGGGAAGACCTATAGTCAATAACCCTTACTACGAGAGCAAAGAGATGAGGTGCATAAGCTTGCCATTCCCTGGATCGTTACATCTGCCTTGGTATTTATTATCACCGGTTTTATGTTCTAGAGATCGGACGATGAAAGTTTACGAGATCTTCAGCAGAAAAGATGTCACATCCGTGTACTTCACTCTGAGAAATCTTCAAGTTGGATACGTCGTGTTGGAGGAATCGCTGTGCTTTGGTTTCGCAAACCTGTAATGAAATAACTTTGAAACTCAATGAAATTAATAAGCATGTTTTTTTAATGTTACAAATAAAAATTTTGCGTTTCAGGCAAGCAGAGTGTCAGATGATCGATCTATGGGATCTAGTAGACAATGGAACTGCGAAGGCAGCTGGGAAACAACCCCTATGTCCAATCCTATATCGAGGAAACGCTTACCCCTTTAAAAGAGCCTTTGTAAATAATCGTTATGTTGTTTTGCAGCTCGATTATTCCTATTACGTCGAGCTGAAACCGAAGACTTCCCTTAACTACAAATCCTAAAGGTGTTCAATCGACTGATCAAATGTGACAAATCGAAAATACCTCGCGAGACTGCAGAGAATATTTTTCCCAAGGGAGAGACAGTTATGTATGATATACATATATATTTTTCTTTTAAAAAATAATGACTCGTCGAAGTGAGCCAAAGCAACTTTGTTAAACAGTTAGAAGTAAAATACAAATAAAATGTTAACTACGTTCCTGTCAGCTCCGTGTCTTCGTTTTCCTGCGTCGTTCCTGTATCATCCCAAGTCTTCGCACATCTGAAAGGAGTCTGAGTCGAAGTTCTACCTTTACGTAAGACAAAAACTGTTCGTTTTATATAACTTTATTTTAACAACTACAGAACCGTGGTGAATAAACGCTGCGGTTCTCGTAACATGACGAAATCGTCTAAAATATAGTGGAATCTTTCTTCCTCTTTGTTTCTTTATTTTCTTCTTCTTCTTCTTTTAATGAAAGTTGGTCGAATTTCACGTGATAGTTATTAGCGCGAGAAACGGACGAGCGTCAAATCGCGGGATCGCAAGAAGAATCGAACCGCGCCGCGAGGATAGCTCCGTTATAGTAACACACGGCACTGCACCTTCACTTCGCCGTGTAACAGATAGTATAGTCGGAACCCTGCCTTCGCTATACTACGTTGTGCTGCTGACCCAAATGAATCCTATGGCCAGTCAGTCCCGGTCCGGGCTTCTTCGCGGCAATATTGCTCGCTCGACAGCTGGTATCGTATAGACGCGCCCGTTCTTTACATACCACGTTTAACGACAGCTCAAACAATTTCACTTGTCATTCATGCGTGTCAATGGTCAGTCGTCGATCACGAGACAAAGATCGGCGATTTAATTGGAAATTTAATTTAACGGTCGGTGCCCATATTGCAGCGAAAATCTGATGGTCCAGTGAAATTTTAAGGGTACCCCAAACAGTGAAAGTTTCCAATCGATTGATATACGCGAAACAAATACGGTGACTGTTTTGGATAGTTTGTTTTTTGGAAAAATGTTCCGCAGTGTTCGTACTCCGCGTTGACATCAAGAGCCGACAATCGGTGTGCATAAACCGATTTGTTCGCGTTTTGGCGGGAATTATTCTTTCAAAAAATTATTACTCTCTTGCTCTTTTTTACAATTCTTTAAATTGGGCACTCGAGTATTTTTGTTCTAGTGTAAAGTTTAATCAGAGAAAGTGTGACAGAGAGAAGTATCATTTCCTGAATTAGAAGTGATCATCGAGCTGTAAATAATTTGTACGATCTTTGATATAATCGTAACACGCGGTACTTGGACCAGAACAGAGGAGGCTGAGGATGCCTGAGGCGGAAACAAAAACGTAGAAATCGCGTCGCACCGGCCACGAGGATCCGATTGATCGAGATCGCGCGCATCCGCAGGCTCTGAATAGCGATGCGGTTGCATTCCACGGCAACGATAGTTCCGCATAATCACTGACACTCTGCAGTGAGTACCAAATTATTTTCTCTTATTTTTATTTATTCTATATCTTCCTTTTCCGATATTTTTTTTCTTTCCTAGTTTTCGATTATTTCTGGCTAACAACGGAAATGATTTGCAAATTATCAAGGACATCGCCTCGCGTCCTTGCGTCAGCTTATGGACGGTGCATTAATTCGCTCAATGAGCATAACAATGTAAATGCAGTCCTCAATCGGATACGCCGACCCTAGTACTATAATTTCGAAATTATGCTCGTTCCGCGATGAAATTCTAATTCGGTCGTATTCCGGAATTCTGATTCGCAGGATATTACTCCTTTAGCCTTTTATCTCGGTCTGATTTTAAATTGGTTGGCTCGTAGGGTTTGTAGTTTGGATTTGCGAAACTTTAAAAATAATCGTGTGTAGTTCGCAAAGAATATAACAAGGAAGTAATCAGATATTCCTGTTAGCTCCTATTACGAGACAGAAACAAGTTTTTCTTACGGTACAGTCCCACGTAAATAGCGAATCAACCTCGTAAAATATTCATACGGACAATTTTTTCACTAATCTACTATTATTTACAATTAGAAGCCTTCAATTGAAGAGCTTTCTGGTAAAACGATGTCGTAATGGCGAATTGATTAAATTGCCTTGGAAATTTTAGTTCTGGCTTTTTAATATTAACTACGTTTTTCATAGTATTTTGACAATCCATTCATTAACGTGTATAATAGAGCTGTCTTACACGATTGAATTAACTGTGTCAATAAATTCCCTCATATAACACATATACATAATTTACTCGTTATAGTTTACAAATATAAGTTTCAAGAACTACAAATCACCTGATCATCCAATTCTAATAAAATCTTATTCTATCAAATGTTAATTTTGTTTTCTAAACGAAGATTCTATGGTATACGATTTCTACCGTAGAATAGCTACTCTAAGGCAGTAAAATAATTTTATGTGCACGCTTAAACAGAAAAATAGGAGGGGAGATGATATATTCTTTTTAAAATACTAAGGGTCTTTGATAACACACTCTCGTGATTTATCCGCTATTTTTCAATTCTTTATATTTTCAGTTCGACTCAGCTATTATTTTCTTCTTCAACCACATTGTATTAAGTCCTCCTTTTCAAATTGGAAAGGTCTACAAAAACTGATTATCATAGTTTTCTCATTTTATTTCTAATTTGTAGGTTGTGACTTGTAAAATTTCGCTAATAATATTAACGGAATTGCACAAGAAGTATCCGAAGAAATTCGATAATGTGTGGAGAAGATTCCTAGTTCGCGAAATAGCCGTTTTTCCCTGACCTCGAAACAACGCGGAACATAGACAGTGCGGTTGCGTTTGGCCGAATGGAATTTGGCACGCACGTACTTGACGGTGGCTCGAGCTACAAAAAGTATCGATGCATCAAGGCACTCGAAGCCGTACAGAGGCCGTCCTGAATCTTCGGAGACGGCCAACGAAGTGGCCAAAGCCACGTTCAACCGATAATGTGATCGCCGATGCAAACCGGCCGCGCCTAATCTTTCTCGACGATACGACAGATCGGTTCTCGGTTACTTTCTCGCCGGTATTCGTAACCTACTTTTCGACCACGATGCAGTCACCCCATGTGCCGGTGCCAACAACTCGAATTAGAAGGGTTCTAATTCGCTAGAATTATCTTGGAGCTGATGTCGCAGTCTCTGAGCATTCAGCTTTGTCTACTTATAATTTTGGAAGTTGATACGTGATCCTCGGATCTTCGGTTGTATTTTTGTGTTCCTTCTGGTAGGTAATTTTGAAGAGAGAACTCGATCGAGATAAAAACTTTTTGATAAGAAGTTGACTCGATAGATGCTGGAATGCATTCGATAGGCAGAGAAATATTTTTGAAACCAGGTTCACAATTCGCTAGAGTCATTTTCTCCAAATTTCTGTTTCTTCTTGCGATTCGCAAGAATTTATCGAGATGAAAACTTCTTCAGAAAGACAAGCTTTCAGTCGGCGATTATACCGTACATTTTCATTTCTCTTTGCAAATTCCGAAGAGTTCGTCGAAATCAAGATTTCTTTAAAAACACGGCGGCTCTTCATCGATGCATCAAATCATCCAATCGGCGGAGAAATTTTTCTGAGAACTAATTGTTTAATTCACTGGAATTATCTTTGAACGCATCGTGGCAGCTGCATACTTTATCTGCTTGCGATTTTAGAAATTAGTACACGATCCTTCGATTCACCTGTATTTTTATTTTTCTTCGGAAAGTCCGAAGAGTTCATCGAAACCAAGATTCCTTTGAAAACAAGTCGACTCTTTATCGATACATTAATTCATCCAATCGACAGAGAAATTCTCCGGGAACCAGTTTCCACCTGAACCACCAAATTCAGAAACGTACGCGTGTACGTACATGGATCAAGCCATACGTTTGCCTCTTCTCGTCTTACCTGGCAAAACGAAATTCCTGTTGGGTGGATCGCGCATAACCATCGTGAGAAACGGTTTCAAGGTGGAGGCCAGAGTCCTTTTCAAGCCCCAGAAGAGACAGGGAGCATTCCTTACGCGAGATAAAGAAGCATAGAGGAACGGGAGACACCGTGAAAGAGTGGGCGACAGAGTTTCACATGACCGAGTTAGAGCATCCAGTTTTGCCGGGGGCATGATACTCGTGACACTAAATATCGTTTTCACGTAGGCTGGTTGATTGCTCGACAGAGAAGACCTAATTGGCCAGAGGTCACAATCATGAAACGTAATTTCATCCTACTAGAGGTAATTGCGGGAATTGCCGTTCCCTTGGCTTCGCGAATGCTGCGTGTGATACTTCGAATTGAATCTCGAACGGCTACCGATAAATTGCGCTATTCAGGAACGTCTATTGGAGTTTCAGGAAGTTGAATTGGTCGACCAAGTTCTTCGATGACATTCGACGCGGGGGAAGATAAAGATGGATTGAAATGAAAGTTATTTTTGATTGCAAAGTTCAAGCTAATACTTTTCCGGAGAAGATGAAACGAGCTTAGAATTATCATGTGCTTCGTGGGTGTCAGGAATTTAAAAAATATCAGGTTTAAAATTTTCGTACTTTAAAAAAAAGTTTTTCGTTTACGTAAAACCTATAAAAATAGAGGAAATTACTATCGATGTAATAGTAGTTTCGAATGAGTAACAGAATTAGCAGGAAATGCAGAGTGGTTTTGATGTAGATTGAATTACGATTAAGTCTTTAGTTGGTAGTCTAATTATTTTCTTAGAAGAAATGTACGTATACGTTTCCTGTAGTATATGCGAAAATTCAATTACTTTATTATATTAAATTCTTTTTGTACTATCCATAGAATTTCAAAATACACTTCCTGTACTTTGGAACACTATGATTATACAATTATTTTCAACGCTTATATGCTCGTTATTCTACATATAGAAATTATAGAAAGTATTTAAATATTCAGACACATCTTTCTATTTACCATAAAAAGCTGCACCAACTCGTATACCAAGATATCTTTAGCTTGGAGGATATTGCTGCTAAAAATTTAATACGCGTTTATGGCATTCAAGTGTTAGCTATGTACTTCTACAAGCTATCCAGTGATGCCTTTCGCGACCAGGAGAAATTGACAGAGATCGCGTGATTCAGATTTATCGCACCTTTCGTAGCCAAGCTTTAAAATAACAGTAAAAAGCCTAACAAATATCCACTCTTTAGAATGTTCTTCTTTCGCGTTTTGATATTTTATTAGAATAGTCATAGATCTCTGAAAAGAATTTTATTTTGTTGGTACCGGTTGACTCTCAGTTAGAATAGGGTCAGGCTTAGCAGATATTAACGTCTTCCTCGATGATCTCATGTGGCTTCGTGACGACGAGCGTTTTTTCTGACCTTGCTCGATGCTACACACCTCCCAGCATTCCAGTCTAATCGAACGACACACCTCTCACCGCTGCTTCTCGTAGTCCATGGACCGGCATGCTGGTCATAAACGTGTTCCTCTATCCGTGTGTGCTGCGATCCATGTGATTAGGAAGCGGTGGCTTTTAAACTTGTATTGCCTCTTCGATGGATGTTTTCTTTTTTAACATTTCGACAGGAACATTTGAAGTTTTCAGGAGGTATCCTAGGCTATAAACTGGTCTTGATGAACCTCGAGGTATTTTTTTAGGTGCTCTATCTTTTTAACGAAAAAATTCGAATTCTGAGCGCTTTGGACTTTCGTTTTTTTGTCTATTTTTTAAATCCTTTAAAAATTTAACTTTCTTCTACGGAAATGGAATTTTTTACGTTTTCTTTAGATAATCTATGGAAAACTTAATTTTCTACGAAAATAGAGTTGCAAGTTTTCCTTTAAAAGTTTAAAGTTCTTTAAAAGTTTAGCTTCCCTGAAAATAGAATTTTAGTCCTTTCACGCTTCATTGTACTTGCGTGCACGCAACACTGCACTTTAGTAATTCATTTATTAGCTAAACTATAGATCTATTTCTTTTCGGTAAAATTGACTCTCTTGAACAGTAATTTATTAGCGAATAACTTGTTGATAATAATAAAAGTGAATAGAGTAACCATTAGTTGTTGGTTGTAACGTATAGCGTATAGACTTCTCGTTCAGAATTTTAATCAGTGAAATACAATAATCAAGTGATTTGTGATTCATAAATTTGTAGAATTTCACCAGTTTTAGTAGTAAACCTGTTACTATTATACGAGAAAGTTTTATTGTGAGACTACAGATATTTATTCAAATTTGTATGTATGTGTTGTATTTTGCGAATACAGTCAAAGAAATGGGACATAAGTAATATTATAATAAAAATATACTTTGGATATTTTATATATTTTTGTATATTATATGTATTTTCATGATCTTGAATTCCATAACATTATAATGCATAAATGCCAAATGTTTTTATTATTTTTCTTAGTAACTGGAAATTTACGATTTGTAAGATTTCTGCCATAATATTAATATAATTCTATAACATAATCCAATTTTCAAATTGCAATGCACACCACGTCTTCTTTTTATACAGAACTATATTATTAACGAATAATAAAAGAACGGTCTTTATTGCAGACTAAAAAGGACACAGTTGTGAAAGGATGGAGAAAATAGAATAAGAAATACATGTTTCTTCTCTAAAAAAAAACTAAACGAAAATCTCGAGATATCTGTCCAAATTCCTGCGAAAGTAAATCCTTTTTATGGCATTACCATACAGACACGCGCGATTCTGCAGACTTTCTTCGGCGTAACCTACTTCCGGCAGAAACAGCAGGAAGAATGACGTTCACATCGAGCTAAAGAACCGAGTATAATGGAGACAAGATCTTCAGACTGGTTCCTTCGAACGACATTGTTATCAGTAGAAGGAAAATTAACCTGGTTTCCGTGACTTTTTCTACTTTGAATCTAATTTCACTTTGTCCAAGCGCCACTTAAAACGTTACAACCATCAAACTAATTAAAATTGCCGGTATCGGATTCTTTTTGTTTTTATTATTAAAAGTTACTTCTTTACAAGTTATTAGTAATAGAAATGCATTTTTTAAAATGGTCTTATAAAAAAGACGTAATTTTTCTTCTTGCATAATTGTACTACATTATTACTGACGAAATTTTACAAGTAACAAGTTTCACGCACTAACAATAATAATAAATTTTGTTCTATAACGTTAACAGGTTTGATTCTAAACAAGTGTTTTTGTTAATATTGATATCCATTTTCATTAATAGAAAAGCATGATTACATAGAGATATTTATCATCGTTATATAACTTTAATTATAAATTAATTATATACAAGATATTTAGGCATACGTATGAAAGACGATCATTAAGTGCTGTGATATTAAAATATTACAACACTTAAATACTTTGAAAGAATTATTAAATATCCTGTATCAAGTTTGATACAAATATTTTTCTAAACTCCCCAGTAGCCAGATTTCCTTGAAATTTTCACCTCGCTAATTATTTTCTTCATTTACTTACGCAACTAACGCATTAAGATTATTGCATCGGTTCTCCTTAGCGATTTCTTACAAGGATAACCGAAATTTTCCGCCTTATAATATCGCACGTTGCATGAATATGATGTTAACAGTCTCGTAAATTTTCAATATGAAAAGGTAAGACCTACTCTACGAACATTTGAGACTCATAAGCTTTCCAACCTTCCTCATGCTATTTTGAATACATAAGAATTTTGAAAGCATTCTTTGCTTCCAAATTTCTTACTTTCTTATTCCCGCTATTCCCTTGCTGCACTTTTTAGTGTACCAATTTTACTAACTATTCTCATATACTATTCAACATTCTTCTCTGTGCAACCTACAAAAGGCAAGAGGGAGGAGCGGAAATTTATTTGTTAGTTGCTACCCCTCCACTATAGACAAGATCCGTATCTTGAAGGGTAAACAAATAAAAATTTATACAAATCTTTAGCATAAAAGATTGGGGTTAGGAGGAGAAGTAGAATAGCTAGCAAGACAAGTGATGGAAGGCTTGAGCAGTGGAAGGGGTGATAGTGGTCGTCAGTCGGAGAAACATTCATGTTTCCTTACTCCAGCTATTTCCTTCCTGCCATTTTCAGTGTACTAATGTACTAACATAGAGGAGAAGGTATTTAGCCGGTCACTCGGAGGTATAAGAGATGGAAGATACATATTTACAATTTTTGATCAACGAGATAAGGACCACGAGAAAGTAACCGAGGCTGTGGAAAGATTTCACGAGCCATTTGCTTCATATTCGCGTGTTTCGATTCGTTCCTCGCTGGGATTCTTTTCTTTCTTTTCTTGGAAACCTCCGCGATCCCGGTAAAGTCTTTCCGCCAAGAAATTGCCTCGAAGAGGCCTCAGCTTGACTGACAGCTCCAAAGTGAAATTTCCTCGTCGCGTAACAATCGTTGAAAATTTCTGACTTGGTGAAAACCCGGTAAAATTATGAAGTTTACGTGATATCGACGATAAAAAAGATAATAGCACGACTTGCGCAAAACTTGGGAATTTATGCAACTAATCGTTGAACACTTCATCGTTTTTAAAGAGAGAGTTACTCAACTTGGGAATATTGCTCTCCACGCTGTTTAAAATATTTTTAAAGTTATCTTTTCCTGGCTCGTATCTTCAAATTGTTCGTACACTCCCTTAACATGTCGATTAGTTAATTAGTGAACGTGATTTTCAACGCGATGATCATCGATGATTTTCGTTACTGAATTGTTTAGAATCGATGAAAATAAGATAAATTTCATGGACTGAAAAATGTTCAGCGATGTGAACGATTTCGGTGGAAATGTCGAACGAATCCTTTAAAATTCGACTCGTTTCCAATAATAAATTAGACCACAGCCGCACGCGGAATAGAAAGTTGCAAAACGGAGCCGAGTTGAGACGAAAGAAGAAGCAGAGTCCGTGGCTGAATACTTGGAACTTGAAACGAGGAAGAAAAATCATGATCTGCCCGGTGTCTCTTCGCGTTATCCTTCTTTCATACCATCGTTGACATTTTACGTGAAACCAATCAAGAACTTCCTTCTTCTCGCGATA